ACCCCCCCTCCCAACCCCCCTCCCAACCCCCCCTCCAAACCCCTCGGATTATGTATTCCGCGGCTGCACGGCCAATGCCATCGGCCAGGTGGGCTACACCGTTTAGTCATCTTGTACGGTATGTACGGAAGCACTTGGTGGAGTTAGGTGACGTGGTGGAGAGCGACTGCAGCGGCGACAGTAGCTCAGCGGCGGCGCCGCCGCCAGGTGTCGTACTCACCAAGGCCAAATCAAAGGGGAGGAATGCCCCAGGGGCTGGCGGTGGCGCTGCCGCCGGTGCCGGCGATGGCGACGAGGACGAGGAAGCAACACCCAAGCGAAGTGCCGATAAGGTATGTACGAACGTGGGGTGCATGCCCGGTATACGACGGGTAGAAATGGTGTTTGCGTGTCGTACGGAAAGGATGAATTGAACAATATGGAGGCGAAAGGAGGGGTGGACGGACATCATTATCACATCGGCCATAGCCGACTGTACCCATTTCTGGGATTAGTTTACTCAGATGCCTTCCTCGGCATGCTGCTATCATGTAATGGTTATACCTTTTCTCCGTACATATTACTCGTGTCGTACAGGTGTTTGTCTGGTGCGACATCTTTGCCATCAACCAGCACCCCGGCCAGGTCCAGGCGGATGACCTGGCGCAACTCAAGGTACGGCAAGAGATCCAAGGAACGTCGTACATACAAAAATGTTGTACAGTCCTGGTTCCGGAACAACTCACTATAACCCCTTACCTGTCCAAGCTCTACATATCCATTAAAGCATTAATAACAAATGAATAAATAAACAAACAAACAAATAAATATATAATAACACGCCTAACGGTGGGCTGCGGCTTTTGCTAAGGAGACAGAGGTGGTGGATTTTAAGAGTCTCCTCTTGGCGGCCCACGCACTGCCCACCACCACTATACATCAGTTTAACTTCACAGTAAAAAGCCATGACGGCATGCCAAGAAAAAATGCTATGCTGTTTGCGCATTGCTGTCTTTGGGTTCAAAAAAACAGTTACAAACTTATGCCCGTATGCTACGCCGTACAACGCCGTACATGCTTTGCCATACGCTTAGGACTGCGTGGAGGCGTCCCACCAGACGTTGCTCTGCCTGGACGACAAGGGTCTGGTGGGGCCGGGTGGGGGGCGGGGTGTATGGGGGGGAAGCGGGGGGGAAGTTTGGGTGGGGAGGGGGTTAGGAGGGGCTGGGGGGTAAAAGCAAAAGGCGACAACATCGATGGGATTTTTAGCTGGCTAGCTGATATATGCGTGCTGGTATGTGTTTCTGTATGCGCCTGTGTGTGTATGTATTTGGTTGTGGTTGGGACCTTGCCAATGCCCTTTGTACGTCAGCAGGTCGTTCGTCCCTCGTCCCAACGGCCATAGAGCACCGGTGCTCGTATATCGTACTTAGTGGTGCCGTTGCTGTTTCACTCACTCACCCACTTCCGATCATTCTTTGCAAACCCTAAAGCTCCCTCCGTTTCTCGGGTGTCGGGAGGTTGGTATTACCAGTCCGGAGCCTGACCCTCCGTATGTCCGTCCGTATGTCCGTCTGTTCAAATATCTGCGATTCGGTGCGCAGGGATCCCGAGGCCCCCACACGATTTCCCTCCAGCGATCCATCCCCCGCCACTGCACCTCCCGCGATGTGTGTCGGAACTGTCGTAGCGATAGCCCTAATGTTCTCCGTGTTGATGTTATCTTATGTCCACCCCCTTGCGTCTGCTTAACACACCTTGGGCGGGTAACGCAAGCCAAGGTGTAACACACGCATACACACACACGCATACACACACGCATACACACACACGCATACACACACACGCACACTTGTGTGTGCCCTGTGACTTCCCCTCTCTCCCCCACCCCTACCCACCCCACCCCGCCACCATCCGTTCTCTTGACAGGTCCTCACTCGCATTTGGTGCTTGTACGAGATCTGGAACACAATTTTGGCAGGCGGCCCGCCTAAGCTTGCCGTACTCGGGTACGACGTCAACCAGGACGCCTTTAAGGTATGGTACGGCACGGGCGCATTTGCGTGGCGGGCGGGCATCAGAATTTGCTGTAAACGGGAGAGTGCCGTACGACCATATGTGTGAAACAGGGGGGTGTATCTTCGCCCTCGGCAGCTACCCTGCGAAACCCTGCCTTCCCCGGTATTTCGGGGCACCCTCATCCAGTCACCCTAGTCAACTTCTTAGTGGATCGCTCAGGTTCCGCACCCACCACCAGCATCCAACGGAATCTGCCGGGTCCACAGCGGCCCAACTCCATTCCTGATTGGCTCACAGATTAACTTTATCCCAGGTCACCACCGTCCATCAACTAGGGGTGCAATGCCTTCCACCATCGATAGGACTTTTGACCCTAACGGGTATCGATCCCGGATCTCCCGGGGGCAATGGTCGCGCCATACCAGTAGTGCCAAACCCTAGTATGTATGTATGCATGTATGCCCTTTCCACACTCCCCGCCGCTACCTGCACTGTGACCCTAAAACGACCACACACACAAGTACGGCTTCCCATTGTTCCCCCGGGCCCCCTTTACGTACGACATTTTGTTTATTGGCCGTACGATTTCTTATAATACTTAGGAGGTGTACATCACTCTAGACGTGGCTGAGGCTCAGGCAACCGTTGATGCGGACAGAGTGCGTATCCTGGCGGACATTGCCGCATCCACCGGTATGTGCGTGTGTATGTATGTATGTGTGCATGTATGTATGTGTCGGTGTGTGTCGGTGTGTGTGATATCATACGGAGGGCTGGAAGTATATTTGTATGTACGGATTGTCGTGTATGTATGTGTGTATGTATGTGTGTATGTCTTTATATGTGGGAGGGAAAACATTATGTGGTTTGCGTCTGTCGTTTCCGTAACCTCCTCTCCCTGTCCTTCTTCCCCCCGTCTCAAACACCCCCCCTTCCCTCCCCCTCCCAAATCAAGTCAAGTCGGTGTGTTTTCCGCTTTCCAGCTCTTCTCCCCCCGTTCCGGCCTGCCACCGCAATCCTTTGACTTTCAAACATGACCCCATCTCCAATACCCCCTCTCTCCCCTCTCCCCCCTCTCCCCTCTTACTCCCCCCACTTTAATAACCCCCATTTCCCCCTTTTTTGTCCCCCCTTTAACTCCCCCCTCCCTCCCCTTCCCCTTCCCCCCAGGTCTTGAGCATCTCAACCAGGTGCTCAAGAGGTCGCTGGTGGAGAGTACGGAGGCGGAGGCGGAGAACGCGCTCAAGGTG